TATATAAAATGTATTATATTATTATATACATAAATATATTTTACACACTAAATGAAAGGTACAAAGGAAATATATACCTGTTCCAGGGGCACAACCAGCATTGGCTACATCTCCACATACGTTCAATCTGAACATCTTCCTATGGGCTGAGGGATCATAGACTGTATAGCCACCTGTCCGACTGAGGGCATTAAGGTCAAAGAGATGACCTGTGGAAACCAAGCACAAGCACAGTACATCTCAGACTGATTTAGGAACAAACATAAATGCTAGAACTTTCAGTTGATTAGAGTGTGTGAAAACACCCTTGCTGTTATTCGGGCTATTTGTATGCAATTACATGACACTGTTATGAGCAGACGGGAAGTGTTTGGATAAGATGATTCAGTTGTTCTGGTTCGGAATAATTGTGTATTTAGTGTGAGTGAGGCTTATGTGGGTGACTCACCTGTGGCTGGATTTGTGACTTTACAGTCCCCGTGTTCTATGCTGTTGAGAGGACAGGCTGCAGCAGTGAACCACACAAAGCTATAGACACAGTTCTCCAGAGCCGTGATCAGAGTAGGTTCAGAGTCCTGCAGAGAGACAGACAGAAAGCCAGAGAGACAGACAAGGAGAGGATGGCATTATGATCACTGTATAATAGTTTTATACTTATTATATAATAATATTTGCATATTTATTATAACTTTAGGTCTACACGATTTTTTTTTAAATTGTTTTTGAAAAGTCTCTCATGGTCACCAAGGCTGCATTTATTTGATAAAAAAAAATACAGTAAAAAAAGTAATGTTGTGAGATACTATTAATTTGAAATAACTGTTTTTTATTTTAATATAATTTAAAATGTAATTTATTTCTGTGATATAAAAGCTGAATTTTCAGCATCATTACTCCAGTCTTCAGTGTCACATGATCCTTCAGAAATCATTCTAATATGCTGATTTGCAGCTCAAGAAACATTTCTTATTATTATCAATGTTTAAAACAGTTGTGCTGCTTAATATTTTTGTGGAAACTGTGATACATTTTTTCAGGATCGTTTGAGGAATAGAAAGTTTAAAAGAACAGCATTTATTTGAAATAGAAATCTTTTATAACATTATAAAAGTCTTCACTGTCACTTTTGTTTAATTGAATGCATTCTTGCTGAATAAAAGTATTTCTTTAAAAAAACAAAACAATTCGAACTAACCCCACGGTAGTGTGTGTTTCTTAAAATATTCATAAAAATATTAGTTAGTTATAGAAAAAAATTAAACAGTAGTTAGTCTATAGTAATTATGCTTACTTCAGAACATGCAAGTTTGAGTGTATAGAGAAAAGGATAAATAACCACAGACCACTTTGTCTGGCTCGCATCTGAAACGAATAATGGTGGTCCGGTTTCTCTTGCCATCAGGACAGGCTTGTCCGTTGGTGTACTTCAGAATCAGGATGTTTTTATCCCACTGTGGACCCGCCTCTGCCTCCCCCAGATTCACATACTTATCTCCATCCTTCAGACAGGCCGCAGCGCTAGACGGGCAGCTCCACAAACCTGAAACAAACACCAGTTATAAATCCTATGCTGACTGGTCAATATGCTCTAGCTGTGCTGCTACAACTCACCGGTCTGAGGCACCAGAGACTTGCACACATTGATATAGTAACGCTGCTTCTGATTGGTCGCTTCTGGCACAACAATCCAATTGGATTTGTGCAGTGCCAGCGAGGATAGATCGTAGGAGTGGCCACTGCCATCACTGCCAGACAGAGGAGGTTATAGGTCATTTAAACAGTTATATCATGTGTTGGGAGCAAATGCATAAGCAAAAAGGTTTCTCTCACTTGTAGGAGCAGGTTGTGGTTTTGAAGGAAGGACAGGCCAAAGCTGTGTGCCATTCAAACAGATATGTGCAGTCTGCAGTCTCCTTTATGAACTCCGGCTTACCCTGATGAACAAAGGAATTACAAAAAAAAAAAACATTCAGGAAATTAATTTAACTTCTTAAACTCATTCATTGGCTGAAAGGAACTCACAGGATTCTTGCTGTGGTCGCAGGAGAAGAGAATAGCCGTGGATCGCTCGTAAATCTTGTGGCACTTTTCCCCATTCGTGTAGTTGATCATTATAATCCCATCATCAAATGTGAGGTTTTGATTGGCTAAGCCTGCAAAGGATCATGGAAACAGTTAAAGGAATAGTTCACCCAAAAATGAAAATCTGCTGAACATTGACTCGCCCTCAGGCAATCCAAGATGTAGAGGAGTTTGTTTCTTCATCAGAACATATTTGGAAAAATTAAGCATTCCATCACTTGCTCTACTATGGATCCTCTGTAGTGAATGGGTGCCGTCAGAATGAGAGTCCAAACTGCTGATAAAAATATCACAATAATCCACACTACTCCAGTCCATTAATTAACATCTTGTGAAACTAAAAGCTGCATGTTTGCAATAAACCCATCAAGGCGTTTTGATTTTAAACGTTGCTATTGGCCAAAATATGAGCCCATAATAATGCTTCCTCCAGTGAGGAATCCAACAACATATTTGTTTAGAATGGTTTTGGACTGTTTTAACTTATAAACTGTGCTTGATCTGTGCATATTTCTCCTCTGATTCAGACAAGATGACTTTGTCACTGGAGAAAGCAATATTATGGATAGAGGATTTGTATTTTAGCCATAAGAAATGGTTTGAAGTGAAAAATAATTATGATTATAATTATGTTTATAACAAACATGCAGCTTTTCACTTCACAAGATGTTAATTGGACTGGAGTGGTGTGGATTACTAGTGGATTATTGTGATGTTTTTATCAGTTGCTTGGACTCTCATTCTGACGGCACCCATTCACTGCAGAGCATCCATTGGTGAGCAAGTGATGTAATGCTACATTTCTTTTTAATCTGTTCTGATGAAGAAACAAACTCATCTACATCTTAGATGGCCTGAGAGTGAGTAAACTTTTAGCAAATTTTCATTTTTGAATGAACGATTCCTTCAAATATGAAAAAATGCCCTACTAGCTCAGCTTTGATACTGAACAAACCAAATAAACTCACCTGCTATTCTGTGTGTACTGCCCTCGACCTGACAGGAGGACACTGAATTGCTGGGACCGTGAGGGCAGACCGAGGATGTAATTGGGCCGCACACTGCAAACTGATACTCATAACTCAATTTCTTGACTTCATAGTCCTTTCCGGCCAGTGGTGTAAGATTGTACTCGTAGCCGCTCTTGGGGTCCTTGACTTTACAGTTTTCACCTGTAAGTGACAGGAACTAAACTGAGTCAAAGCCAAAGTAAGAGTATTTCTTCACATTCATGTGAACAAATTGGCTGCTGATCCTACCCTGCACTCTTTTTATTGGGCAAGCTTCTGAGGTTCTCCAGATGAAGACATATTCACAGTCATCTTTGCGATCAAACAAGGGTGCACCCTTTAGATAGAGGAAAGAAAAATAGGTTTCAACAAAAAATCTTAAGCATCTTAAATAGAGTACAAAATAGGGCTTGGGGGCAGTAAGATTTTAAAGTCTCTTCTGCTCACCAAGGCTGTATTTATTTGATCAAAAATACAGTAAAAACAGTAATATTGTGAAATAATATTACAATTTAAAATATATTTTCTATTTTATTTTATTATATTATTTTCCATTTAATTTTCTATTTTAATATATTTTAAAATGCAATTTATTCCTGTGATGTAAAGCTGAATTTTCAGCACCATTATTTCATTACTTCAGTGTCACATGATCCTTCAGAAATCTTTCTATGTGCCAAGAAACTGGGAATGGAGGGTCAATTTATACACACTCATACATATACTGTACATACATAGATTACAAATCATACAAAACTTTCTATTTATCAAAGAATCCTAAAAGAATAAATAAATAAATCACAGTTTCCACAAAAATATTAAGCAGCAAAACTGTTTTTAACATGGACAACAATAAGAAATGTATGTAACAATAAGAAATAAGAAATTGAGCAGCAAATCAGCATATTAGAATGATTTCTGAAGGATCATGTGACACTGAAGACTGGAGTAATGATGCTGAAAATTCAGCTTTGTCATCACAGGAATAAATTAAACTTTAAAATATATAAAAATAGAAAAGTCATTTTAAATTGTAATAATATTTCACAATATTATTCTATTTACTGTGTTTTTAATCAAATTAATGCAGCCATGGTGAACATAAGAGACTTCTTTCAAAAACATGAAATCTTACAGACCCCAAACATATGAACAGTAGTGTACACGACAGAGGAAATGTACAATAAAAAGGAATCAGGGATGTTCATTTCAGTTATTTTTCCTAACCGACAACCGACGTTCGTTAACCGATTATTAACCGTTGTGTTGTTAAAATTATGGTCATCATATCACATCACGCACCTGCAGTGCTTCTGCGAGCGGAGAAAAACATAATAAAGCTAGGCTATAGGTATATATAGCTATATATAATGATAAATAGGCCTATACGAGAAATATATTTTTACTTCAATAATAAATTAAGAAAACGAAAGAAAAATTTTCAGCACCATTATTTCATTACTTCAGTGTCACATGATCCTTCAGAAATCTTTCTAATATGCTGATTTGCTGCTCAAGAAACGTATTTCTTCTTAATATAAATGTTGAAAAGAGTTGTGGTGCTTAATATTTTTTTTTTCTCCAAATATTGGTTTCAAGTTACTTGAAAAATATTACTTTTTTTACTTGCAGCAACAAGGTTACATAAATCCTGTGCAGCTAAATAATGATTCATTTTAGTTTTGTTTTTTTTAATAATTTAACTATAAACATTTATAGACATTGCATGTGTTAGTCATACTATCACACTGTGAATCTTTAGATAGATTATAGTTTATATGTATATATCCAGTCATGACACCAATTTGCTCCATATTTGTGGAAAGTGCCATGGATAAAAATGTATTTGCACTTAAGAGAGAAACTATGCACTTGCTTACAGGACTGTCATCACACTGGAAGATGATTCGTGTGGAGTAACGTCCTAAACCGCACTTGTCCCCATTCAGATAAACAATACTGATGGAGCCATCTGCCGCTGCCTGCAGGCTGGACTGCATGTATCCCAGATTTACACCTCTGCCTTTCAGCTGGCCACATGCCCCAATCGCTCCAGCTGCCAACAACATATTAGTTTACTGTGCGGCCATTCAGACCAGCACTACTGCTCCAGCTCTTGGTTGGTGTTACAAACAGAAAATCAATCTCACAGTACCAGGCTAAAAACAGGAAGACATTTCAAAAGAGTCTGTCAATATCTGTCCAGAGACACTCACCAGGGCAGCCCTGGACGCGAGGCAGCGGTTTACACACACTGATGTAAAACTTTTGAAAGCGGGCCTGATCTGAGGTGTCCAGAGGAACGTAATACTTGTCATCCAGACTGAGGTCACTCAAGTCATACTCTCTACCTTGTAAATCTGGAAATACAAGACAGCTTGAGTTTGGTAACAAAATGGTGATAGTAATGGTGCAGAATTGACACCCTTCAGCATTAAAAGCATGTTTTTGTGCACAGGAAAGCTTACCTGTGACTTGGCAATCCACAGGAGCAGGTTCACAGGCTAGTGCAGTGGAAAGCTCGAAGAACACATTGTGGGTTACGTGTGTAGTTGTGCCCAGCTCTTCCTGTATAAGCCTCAGAGAGGGTGGGTTGGCCTTCTGGTCACACACAAAATTTATGATGAAGGTGTCTTCGGTACCTACAGTACAGATGGGAAACAGGGTAAAAAATGGATTCAGTCCAGGGCGGAACAATGTAAACTTTATGCAAGACTCTCTAGAATACTTGATTCCGATTGGACAGTCTTGGCATTCAAAGATTTTTGCATTATGATCCTAAACCATATGTTGGACCGCTGTCCCTGGCAATTCATTTCCTGCAAAGCTATGCTAGTTTTGTCACCTTTCTAGCACCCTAACATGATCATGTAAGGTACAATGAAATACAATACTACATACACTACCATTCAAAAATTTGGGGTCAGTAAGAATTATTATTTTTTAAAGAAATTAATATAAATTGATCAAAAGTGACAATAAAGACAAAAGATGTCCATTTCAAATAATTGCTTGCTCTTTTGAATCCTGAAAAAAAATAAAGATTTGTTTTTATTGTGAATGTACACAAATAAAAGCAAACTTTTTACAATTCCGATTATCTTTAGGACTAAAAGGAGTAGTTGCTTCCACTGTTAGAAGGAAAAAATTCAAGTGATTGTGCCGGCGCCGCATGCGCGCACAGTTAAGCATTGGTACCTTGACAATAATGCAGCCTGTTCATTATCATAATAAAATACAGTCAGTCAAACATATTTAAACTGAGCAGTGTGTTTTTTTTCCATATGTAGTCAAATCTGTGCCATTAAGCGTTATCACTGTACCGCCGTGATGTTATGCAAACCATGTTGTTTTACGTGGATATTGGAACGTGAGTGAAGTAGGCTACATAATAAATAATATTTTGGCATTCAAATACATCGC